GGAGAAATTAAGGAGAGCAGTCAAATTTGAACTTTTTTTTTAAAGTTAATTAAAAGCTTTATTTTAAGGATATTTAAGGAGGTTTTTGTTTTTTAAAGATATTTAAGGTTTTTAAGAAGGTGTGGAAACCCTGTAATAATAATAATAATAATATTATCTATAATAATACAAACAACATAATTCGAACAAACTATAACTAATAAGAACAAATATAAATAATTATTTGAAAAGGAAAGTGCCACTCAAACAGAAGCCTGATCAAAGGAGTGACACCATATAATTATTTGGATTCACACCTTTGAACAGGTTTCTGTGTAAGTGACACCTTTTTCTAATAAATATTTATATTTATTCTTATTAGATATATTTTATTATAATTATGTTGTTTGTACCATTATAGATAATATTATTATTATTTAATTATTATTATTAAAATTATAATTATATCAAAAAGTGGTGCTTCTGATACGTCAAATAATAAAAACGCAGCGGGAAAGACATTTAAAATCCATGTAAAAAATTGCTAAAACACTTGGAATTGATCTTTTTATAAGACTTTTTATTATTCTCTATGAATTTGTTCTGTAAGCACCCAATTGATCTAGATAATAAAAGAATATATTGAAAAGATGCGTTTGTAGACACATATAGCACATTTTGAATGGTATCCTGCACTGCAAAAAAATGTTTTGTTAATTTAACCAAATATGTTTGGTTAAGTGAATTTGGTAAACGTCACAAACTTGTTTAGTAAAATATACCAAATCTTTTGTGAGCTTTACCAAATTGATTTTGTTATTTTAACCAATTCATTTGGTTTGATGATCTTTTCGGTTTTTGTCTTAACGCAAAATATAACAAATTTATTTGGTTAAATTTACAAAATTGTTTTTGTTATTTTCACCAAATGCGCCACGGGATTGCAAACATTAAAAAAAACTAGGTTTTGTCGCCATTTTTTTTCTTCATTAATTGTCAGGTATCGTAGTTTCAACTAAAAAGAATTTTTATTAATTTCACTATAATCATGATTAATTGTGCTTATTGAGAATATACTGCAAGCTGCAGCAACTCTTATAAATGCCATCTAAAAGTATTTCACAACAAACATAGTTATGGCGAAAGATTAGTTTACAGTCAGGTTGGTTGTCCGATGGAATATAATTCTTTCCAAAGTCTTTCAAAACATATTGAAAAATCTCATCAAGAAGTTATTTTAGGACCTACTTTAGACAAAGCAGATACAATGCAACGATGTTTCCATTCAAATAACTTGTCTCTAGCTGTTCACAATGCCGAACCTGTTTGCCCAGATGTTAAAATTTGGTATAAAATTTGATGAAACCGATGGTATATTTAAAGATTCCGATTATTTCATTTCTAAACTAAGAAGTTATTCTAATATACCCCTAACCACTACATTAAAAATTGTTGATGAATGTTCAGACTTTGTGTCATCAATTGTAAAAGGAATTAGTAATGAGACCTAAGGAATATTTGACAAGCAAAGTCTCAAGTCTCCAAAAAAGATGAATATAATAATTTCTTTGAAAATATCTTACGCCTCCAAAAATCTTTTCAAGGCTTAGAAAGTTTGCATAATCAAACAAATTATTTTGAAAAGAAAGGGTATTATATAAAACCAAAATCATACCCAATAGGTCATTTTATAAACACTCAAAAAACAGCTAAAGGAGTAGTTTGCTCAACTTGTATACCAACATGGCAATTTGTTTCATTAAAGCAGTGTCTTAAAGTTTTTCTTTGTCTTCCTGGTGTACTTGATGAAATAAGAAGTAATACAAAACCATCTACTAATGGTTTAGTTTCAGATTTTAAAGATGGAGAGTTGAGGCAAAATCACCAATTACGCCGTCAATATGGTCATTCCCAAAATACTTTTGTAATTCCAGTTTTTTGTTTTTTTGATGATTTAGAAACTGCTAATCCATTAGGTTCACATAGCACTGTTCACAAAATTGGAGCTTTGTGTACAATTCTAAAATGTTTAAAACCACTACATAATTCAAAACTTGAGAATATTTTGTTAAGTGCAGTTATATATTCTTCTGATCGCATTAAGTATTCGAATAAAAATGCATTTTCTATATACATAGAAAAAATGACAGAATTAGAAACAAAAGGTTTTACTATAAAAATAGATTGCAATAAATTTAAAATATATGTTGTTCTTGCTCAAATTATTGGTGACAATCTTGGTTTAAATGGAATATTAGGTTATGTAGAAAGTTTTACTGCAACATAACCATGCAGAATATGCAAAATGAAACATAAAGACTTTGACAGTATTTTTGTTGAATCTGTCGAATTACTTAGAACTAGAGAATGTTATGATTATGATGTTTCTTTACATAATTGTTTCCTAAATGGTATAAAGGAAAAGTGTTGCTTTAATAAAATTCCATCATTTCATGTTAATGATAATATTTATTGTGATATTATGCACGATTTGTTAAAAGGCATTTGTAAAAATGTTTTTCAAAAAATGTTAAACTATCTAGTATTTCAGAAAAAGTTCTTTAATCTAGGTGACATAAATAGCAGAATGATAAATTTTTCATATGATCACTCGTCAATTCCTTCATGTCTCACTGAGTATCAAATAAAAAATGGTTCGATTAATATTGGTGCAATTGAAATGCTAAATTTGGTTTTAAGCTTTCCTTTATTAGTTGGAGATTTAGTTCCTTTTGAAGACAATGTTTGTGTCGTTTTTTTATTGTTAAGACAGATTGTCCTTTACTCATTTGGTTTGTATTTTAGCAAACCTGATTTATTACATTTTGGTTCTCTCATTACTGAATTTTTACAAAAATACTGTTTTGCATTTAAGTGTGGCTTAACTTTAAAGTTTCATAACCTTATTCATTATCCACGTATTATTAAAATGCTTGGCCCGCTAAGTCATATGTGGGTAATGCGTTGCGAAGGTAAATTAAGAGGTTTTAAGAGAACTGCTTCGTCTGTAGGAAATTTTAAAAATGTTTGTAAAACAGTAGCTATTAGACACCAAATGGATCAGTCAACTCGATTCATGGCAAAACATGGCTTAAAAAATAATGAATTTTGTGTTACTAAAACTGAACCTATTTTACTATGCCATGTGATTGATGGAAAAACTATATCAGAGTTGATTGGTAATTATGGGTTGTACAGAGAAATTTTTCAGACAAAGTGTGTTTCTGTTAACTTTGTTAGCTTTAAAATTGGTGATGTTGTTATATATGCAGTTGAAGAATTATATCCTGCATTTTGTCTAATCAAACAAATTTTCGTATCTGATACTAATTTATTTTATTTGTCAAAAGTTGTTTATTATAACTGAATGCTATCACTTACAATCTTTTGAGGTTGACATTGAAACAGAATTAATTGTTTTAAATTGCTCTCACTTTGATACCATTATTTCACATTGGCCGTTGAAACTACGAAATTTAAATAAAAGTAAATATTTGTCATTAATGCACAAAATATAACTATTGATCCTGGCAGCATTTAACTTAGTAGCACTTAAATTTATTTAATTTTTTTCTTTTTATTAAAAAAAAGTTGAGTAAGTATTTTATATTCTTTAGGGCAAAATTGAAAAGCCTTGTTTTTCAAAGGAGAAATGACATACTACCTATAAATTTTACTAACCATGTCTTTACTCCAAATTAAAAAGATACTATATCTATTTAATTTGGAGTAAAGACATTGTTAGTAGTATTCTAAATTTTTAGTTATACTCATTCTAAATTTGTGTCACGAAAGGAACTATAGGTACCTTCAAGGAAACAAGTCTCAATTGTTATAACAAAAAATTTGAAATTCTTTAAATAATGTCTTCACCTTAAACTAAATAAGTTTTATAAGTAGTATGTAAGATATTATTGCCATCTGAATTCATCTGAACATTTTTAGTTTTTTCATTTCTATTTTAGTTTGCAAAGGTTACTTTCCTTTTGAAAAAACAAACTTTTCAATACTGCTCTTTTTTTTGTTTCTCTAAGTTTTAAACAAATGTAATTTGTTTTGTTTTTAGTGAACTGATGTTAATTATTTATTTAAAAACAATAAATTATATTAGTTTATATTATAATATATAACCCACAAAATTATTATATTATAGATAAGTATTATTTTTGCTATAACTTCTAAAATGATATATTTACATTACTTCATTTATGGGTTTGCTTTTTCATTTAGTGTTGTTTTTTCTAAATAATTTTATATAATCAAATAAAAAACTTGATTATAAAATGATTAAGTAAAGTTGTTTTTCTGTTACTTTATTTTTCCTCATTTTTATAGTGTTATTAAAAATGAAGGATAAAAAAGGGAGAAGTAGAATGCAATGTCTCAAAGCAGGATGTGATTGTGATGAATACACAAAAGAGAAAGGTTTTGATTTGTGTGCCTATTGTGATCATGCACCAGTTTTACATAAAGGTATTTTGAACAAGTATTTTTATATTATAACATTTCTAAATAATTATGGAAATATTACATATAACACAATTTTGTATACTTTAGTGGAAGACAATTTAAATCTTGTTGAAGATATTGAGTTAGCTCATTTCTCTAAGAGCAATGCAATACTAAACACGTTATCCAGTACAGTTATTTTTTTATACTTTTTTGTCATGTGTTTAAAAATTCACCTAACAGTAAAAGTGGTAAAAGTTACGAATAGCAAATCACCAAATTACATGTTACTCGTTTTTTTGTTTTTAATATTATATACATAATATTTTCATCAAAATTATACCTAATAGTATATAAATAATATTCTCTCAGTATGTCAATCGTGTTATTTGAACCCCAAAACTGTAAGAAAGAAAACGGATATGCTAACTTTGGTATTTGTCTTACATATTAATAATAAAAGATTTAAAAGAAATTTTATAAATTTAATAGAATGGTTTAGACCCCATCCTGAATTCTTGCACAAATGGGATTATTGTGTTAAGTGCTTTAAATCTAACCTTTAGTTTATTCAGCAAGTTGGCTAGAATAGCAGTCAACCATATTATTCAAAAGAAAGGATTGCAGTAAGTAATAAGTTATTAGATTTTCAAAATTAGTTTTATTTATTATTGTCTTTACTTATTATTTATTACTAAAGTTACAAATATAAAATTATAACATTGTAGTAATGCAAATGCATATGAAAATTTGATAAAATTATTTTTGATATATAAATTCTTTTTAAATTTTTCTCTAGAAATCGTCCAACTAATGCAGATGTCTGTGAATCAGCAAATGTCATTGTTACACATTTTCCCTCAGAAAAGCTTGTAAGTAACTTATAAACTTTATGAGTTGATGTGATCTATATGATTTTTAACAAAGTCGTTGTTAGTAATATATATGTTTAATATTTTCTGTATTAGGAAACATGGTATACTGCTCCTACGAGTAAAAAAACTATAGCTGGTGGAAAGTTGTCCGAGAAGCTTCGCAACACATGGCGAAATATTAAATCAGTGGGTATTTTAAAAAATTCTAACGGCCAACAATGAAGAACATGATAGTAGCGATGGTATGCTTTATAAGATAGTTAAGTTATTATAAATAGTATATTGTGTTTTATATTTTTAGAAAATTTTTTATTTCATTATGTTAATTATTAAATTTTTTTTTGATAAATTGTATTTTGATAAAATGTATAAATCTTTGCACAATTTTTTATCATATAATGGAGAAAGTTTTAGCATTTTATTAGTTTTATTTTTAAACATTAAAAAAATTATATAGAAGAAGCAATTCAAGATGACCTTAATTGGCTTAAATTTAATAGTTAACCATGGACTGAAGTGTGCCATAAATGGAAATCAACTTCAAAATTTAGGTTGAAATGTTTTCAATCTGGCACCAAAGACATTCCAAATTTTAAACTTCTTTTGGATCTAAAAGCAGATGCATTGGTAAGTATTTTAAATATTTGTTATGTGTTATTTCATATGTCCATATTTCACATACTAAATGTTTGCCACAGAAATACAAAATAATATCTTACCTTTTATAGGTAAATATCGATTTTACTCAATTGAGTATGCAAAAGAATTATGAGTATTGTAGCAACTTTATGCTTCAAAAAATTCCACTACATGCAAAAAAATTGATAGGCTTAGTTGCCAAGAAATATTCCATGAAAGATGTTTAGTGTTTTATTTTTAATAAAAGTTTATTAATTAGCATATATAGTATGATTAGCATAATATGATTAGCATACATATAACACAGTAGCATAATATGATAAGCATACATATATCAATGACAGCTTAGTCGGCAATCTGACAGACGGACAGTTTTTAAGATGGCGGAAAATTACCTATGTTCATACACGTAACTGACAATGGAAAAAACATTTTTATACATTCATGTGTATTATATATGTATATATCAGGGATTATCTTTTTCCAGATATTCCCGGAATTCCGGATATTTTTAAAGATTAGTTTTTCCGGATATCCAAAAGGTTTTCTATACATACAAGTTTAAGTATATATTTGTGTAATATATTTGATTTTTAAGGCTTTTTAGTCACTCATACAAAAATTAAAGAAATTCTCAAAAAAATTGAGATACAACTCAGCTAAAAGAAAATTAAGAGGAAAATAAGGGGAAAAAAATTCCAGATATTTTCCGGATATTTTAAGCAAATAATTTTCTTGATTTTTTAAATACGACCTGGATATATAATACAGGGGTAGAAGATGAGACAGCTGCTCTTTTGGCTATTTTGCGATTGACATGCTGCAAATGTTCCATCCATTTATGCAAAGAAGCAAAGAGAAAATCCTGGACTCCTAGTGTTAAAGAATGTGCCGAATCATTTCTTTTTCTGCCAATGTAAATTAAATATAAATAAAATACAAAAGTTTTTATTCACTAGTTATTATTTAAAGACACTAAAATTTATTAAATATAAAAATTATTATAATAACTAAGTTGTTACTTAAGTTGTTATTGCTTAATTATTATTATTTCTTTATTTTTTCAGTCAGTTGAAAATGCTGAGCAATCAATTAATAACTTCAGGATCTTATATAATGACCTGAAGCTGACACTTCAACTTTTGGTTTATGCTGTTCCACCAAACATTGCTGTTGTTGTGTACAACAATCACAGATGGTCATTTGAAACCCCTTTGAAAGCAATGGATTTTTCGTTTAAACTGATTCAAGTGAGTTTAATGTTATTACTAATATTTGCATTCCTGTATACAGAATTTTTATCATTCTCAATTATTTGTCTTTAGATCTTGGATCAGGAATACAATATTGCAAGTTTTCCAGCTTGAATGTTTTTTGCAAATATATATATATATTGTTTTAATTGCCCCGATTTTGACGTATCATGCCCGAAAGCAAGTGAATTGGCTTCTGAGTTGAATTTATAAGTTTAGTTGACTGTCTTGAATTGTTATAAGTATAGACTGTGTAGTTGCATAATGCGTAAAAAAAAAAAATGTTTGTAGATGCGGTAATAATACAAGCTAAAACAAATGTAAATATTATGTTTTTTTTAGAGTTATATTACCTAAACTTTAGTTTTTGAGAGAAAGTTCCATTTTGTCTTCGAAATCAAAGAAAATTTATTGGTTTTTTTACACGCAAAAAAAAAGGCAATTTTAATGAAATTTACCAAAATAATTGGTTATTTCAACAAAAACATTTGGTGAATATTTATGCACCAAATATTTTTAGTAAATTTCACCAAACGGATTTGGTGAAAAATATTTCACAAAATCATTTTGTGAAATTTACAAAATCATTTTTTGAAATTTACAAAATCATTTTGTGAAATTTACAAAATCATTTTGTAAAATTTACAAAATCATTTTGTGAAATTTACAAAATACATTTTACCAAATTATTTAGTTACTTTAACAAAAACATTTGGTGCATAAATATTCACCAAATGTTTTTGTTAAAGTAACCAAATTTTTTGTGAATTTCACAAAACGCTTTTTGCAGTGTGTGTCTACTGAATTGCACACGATAATTTTCCATTCACACCACATTGTATATGACAAGCCAGTTCCAATTCGCCTCCTATCTGAAAAAGACCGGGATAATCATAACAAAGGTGTTTATAATTTTCAAGAAAACTTTACAAGAAAAAATACTATTGAAGATATAATGCAAAGATTCATCTGCTCACCAGACCTCATTGCTACTTCTATGAGGCGGTGTTCGAAGTCAAAGAAGGAACTTGCTCTTTAGCAATATGTATAGACTTTTTTTTTGTATGTTTTTCATTGAAACTATACTCTTTATTTTATTACTATTTGTAGTATTGATAATATGGATCCAATATAGAATTCATTTGTTTTAAAAAGTCTGTTAAAATCTGCTTGATTACGATAAAACATTTGTTTTTCAGGCAGGGATTTGAAACCTGTTTTATTGTTGTTTTTTGAAAACTCAAACAGTTTATATTTATGTATTTTTATAATTCTAAATACTTTTTAATTACGTATTTTTAAAGGAAAAACTTAAAAAAAAACAAAAAAAAAACTAAGGAATATAAAAGTAAGTATATTTTTAGCTATAATCTCGGTGAAAAAGTAAAAATACGCTTTCTTTTACGTAGTTGTATGTTCTTGTTATAATCGCATATACATGAAAAATTCATGTCTAGGTAATTATAAAGCTATGTATTTGATAATTTTGTATATTGTTTGACCAGAAAGTTAAACTATTGAAATCATTATCACGGAAATAAGTTTTATAATTTAGCTCTAAAAATAATGTAAATGCAAAAAGCATGTCACGTGTTATTTCATGTGTGTTTATGTGCTAGCATGTCGTATGTTATTTTATGTGTCCTTGTTTTTATTCGTAATTTTTTGTATATCTACCAAAAGTCAATGAAATTATTAATTTAATTTAAATATTGTCATGTAAAATAAGTTGGTTGTTTTGCATACTTTTTGTCCTTGTGTCTTATATTATGTCTCCTTTTTGTCTTTGTCATGTGACCGTGGTGTTCTGCACAGGCATAAGAATTTTTCATCCATCAAAAATGTGTCATACTTGCTGGGAACTCTTTATACTTAATAGAATGTTGGAAACTAAATATGTAATACTCATCACATGTTTATCATTCGTTATTTTATTTTGTTTTGGTTTCGCATTAATGGTGTGTCGTTCAGAGGTAATGCATCCAACGTTACAATGATAGTTTATGGTGGACTAGGTATTTCGAACATTCAACAAAATTTTTAGCCTTTTAGATTTATAGGTTTTAGAAATTAATTAGTAGTGCATAAATTTATTTTAAAAAAGACCTTAAAGTATGATCCCTCTCCTACTGACTTTATTTTTTTTAAACAAAATGTTTTCGTCTATGTTAGGTTCAGATTGGATTTAATGACGTACGTTTAAAATTAAACGTGCTATTAACATCCAAATTTGACCCTAACCCTAACCCTGAGCAGTCAATAAAAAAATTTACAAGTCACAAAACCTTGTAACAAGGTTACAAGGTTTTGTGACTTGTAAATTTTGAAAAACAACAAAACTGCTGTACGTATTTTAAGCAACAAAGTTTGTTGTAATATATATTAAGCAACAACACTTCTTCTATCTGTTTTAAAGCCACAAAACTGGCGGTACTAATTTGCTAGCTATAAAATTTGTGGTACCTAATTTGTAAGTCAAAAAACGTGCGCTACCCGAAATTGGTATTTCAGAAATGTATATGCAAATAAAAAAGTATAAATTTATCAACATATTAGTCTTATAATAATTTGGACGATTATGATCATTGCACGTACAAAAGACCAAATATAAACCAAAATTGTTTGCTCGGACAGGACGGAACAAAATGTTTTCGTCTATGTTAGGTTCAGATTGGATTTACTGACGTACGTTCAAAAATAAACGTGCTATTAACATCCAAATTTGACCTCCTGATGTGCGTCCATATATGAAATTAGAAATTTCTTTGCAAACTAGAATTTAAAATTGAAAGTACAAGTTTGACTTTTTTAAAAACTTAGAGAAAAACGTTCTTTTCAAAATACAAAGTGTCTAAAAATTGTTTTAACTCAATTTTTTTGAGTTGTGAACGTAAAACAAAATAGTTCTAACCTCTCGATTTTGCGCCAATATTTGTGCAATATAGGCACGCTTGAATTGGCTAAAAATAGTCATGTCCAGAGATATTGGTGTGTTTATTCAGAAATATTTGTTAAGAGATATTCTGCCGAAGGAACACAGTTATTCTATTTTAAAAAACTTTACTTTTTCCTTGGGAAATACTATTCATAATTTTTTTCTCGAGCTAGGCTTTATGCAAGAACATCGTAGATGATCTCTACGTAACTGTTTTAGATGTTTTGTTTTAACGGTATCGGCAGGAATGTTTATAAGAACGTTTAGTATATTGCAAATTGCGAAAAAATGATATTTTGCATATATTTTGTTATTTTTCTATTAGCTTTGATACATAAATCATCGGAATATACAGTAATTTCTTTAAAATAAAAAACTAAACAGAATGCAATGCGAAAGATGTATTTTAAAATAAAAAATACAAATTCAAAACATCAAAAATTACATACTAAAAAAACTATTAAAACTACAAATAAAAAGAAATTTGAAATAAAAAATCAAGTCGTTGACATATATTAATAATTTAACCGAAACGCCTTTTTTCGTATGGCGTCCTTTTTCACTTCCTTTTTCCCATCTAAATAAAAAAAAACAAAGGAATATAAACGATAAATCGAACAATTTAATAAAAAACCGATGCAGCAGTCCTTCAAGCTTTCGTGTAAAAGCTTCAGGATTTACCTAATAAAAGAGTGTTACACAAAAACGCAAAAAACTTACCTAAATATCCATTAATGACATTGAACATTTTAATGGAGCCATCCTGAGCTTCATACCACGGATCTCCTGCGTAAACTTTGACATTTGTAAATACTTGTGGGTTGAAGTTTTGTACAGTATATACATTTTCGTTATTGATATATAAAGTAAAAGAAGCTCTTCCCGATTCAGCGTGTTGACGTATATGAATATTTATCCACTGACCTTGTTGAAGTGGCTTGGACTTAATAACTTCATTTTTTTCATTGTTTATTGCAAAACCAAGGTGTAACATTCGATCAAAAATCCAAATGCCAGGAATTCGATCACCGTATTTCGAATTATCCTCTCCTTTAGTCAAATGAATGACACTTCTAAATCCGTTTGAAAAACTGTTGAGTTTTAAATCGAAATAAATATCAAATGATTGTTCTAATTTTGACAAAACCGCAACCAAGTTATTTTTTTTCAGTGTCTCTTCAACTTCATTATCTACAAAATCTAAAGTAAAGAAAAAACCACCTTTTAACTATCTTTATAATAAATTTAATTATAAGTAAACAGTTAAAAACAAAAAAGTTTCCTAAAAATATTATCATTTAGCTTGCAAAGTTAAAATAATTTTGATAAATCTTACATTTTGATTTCAGTACAGCTTTCGCTAAAGATTCACCTAAAATGACGTGCGAAAATTAAAATCCATTTGAATTCAATTAGTCAATTCATTAAAAGTAAAATTGTAAAAAATGAAAGTTCTGTGTATAAAATTAGTTCAGATATAAAAGTAAGAACAAATAGTACATTTAAAAGTTTTGCGATTTTCATTTTCAATTATTGAAATACAAAACAAAAAAGGAGACTCTTTGATACGCCTGATTTAAATGCGTTAGACAAAAATAGTAAAAAAGAGTATTGAAAAAAGTAATACCAGGCTCCCCGTTTTCAAGAATAAGATTTTTTATCGATCCATCTTGAGATGGATACCACGGATCTGAAGCAAAAACTTTGACGTTTTCAAATTTTTGGGGATTAGCATTATTTTCAGAAAATGCGTTTGTTCCATTTACGTCAATTGTGAAAACATATTTGTCATCAATACGTTGTTGACTAATAACAACGTGTGTCCACACATTGAGGGGAGGTGCATCGATATAGATTTCTCTATTTCTTTTTCCATTTATCGGTGCAGTAATGTGAAAACCCTTATAGTTAGGCTCATAGGGTCGTAACCAAAGTGCCAGAGCTCTGTCACCGATTTCACTGGTATCATTACCAACTGCGAAATGAAGAACACTATGAAAACCATATGAGTATGACTTGGGTTTTAAATCAAACGATACCTTGTAGGACATAGCTAATACAGGAATGGTGGCTACTAACTCCGCTGTTTTTAAACATGTTTCGTAATCTCTAATCAGCTTATCTGAAAAAGATACATAAAAAAGGAAATTTAAAAATTTAATTTCTAATCAGCTCATTTGAAAGACACACACAAAAATAACAAATTTAAATATTTTAACTAAAAAACAAACTTAAACAACAACAAAACCTGTTTAAAACAAAAATCATACTTTTTAAATAAAAAAACTGTATTATTGTGTAAAGCAAAACACTGATTTTCTGAGAGATCGCGAGGTTAGGTTTATCTTGTTCTATTTAACACTGATTGGATTGTGTAACTCAAAATAACG